TTATAAAATTGATTGGCCCACAAGCTCAGGCTTCTTATTAACTCTTATAACTTATATTAGACCATTATTCTTGTCTGTGTTAGCCACGTGGCTTGGTACCTTTTTCGGTGAGGCAGTCACATCTTGCATCCTCTGTGTCTGGGTCACAACTGCGCTTTCTTCTCCCAGAATTCTCCTCTCTTCATTGCTCTGCCTTTACTTCCTGCCTGGTCACCACACCTATACTTTCTGCCTGGCTACTGTTCAATCAGCATTTTATTAAATGAGTATAAGAAACAAATCTTTACAGAGTACAAGACCATTGTCCCACAGCAGTGGTTGACTTTTACTGTCGTAGCCTAGTATAGTTGTTGTAGAACAGTTTCCCTCCCTTCACTCTTAGGCTACTATTTTTCACTGTGGTGATAGCATGTGGGTGTGTTAGAACAAAAGTCATCCTAACAGTGTCCTAATGAGCAGACCGTAACAACAATGAACTTATTTATAAGCAAAACTTGGGCTTGAGCTGTTGAGAACTTGTTTGCTGCCATAGTCATAGATATCTGACCCATATATGCTGTGTGTTTTTGCAATAGTGGCATTTCATTTGATACAATGTCTAAAAAGGAGTCAGTCTTAAGAGTTTAATGACTTCCTGACAGGAATGAACTGGTCTTAACCTGCTCATTTGTAATATTCCTTAGTGATTTAGATGTTGGAACCCAGGCTTTGATATCAACCGTATGGATAAATTACATCATGTTGCCATAGTAAAAACACCAGGTTAGAATTACAAGTGATTCTGGCCAAATGGAAAAGAGAGCTCAAAATGCAGTGATTTCAAGTGTCAATAGAGTCTATGAGATGGATGCTCTATGATGGAAATAATTAGATATTGAAATGAAAAGAGGCCGGGGACTGAGAACCTGTGGATGGCAGTTCCAGCAGCTCTGGAAAACACCAGTAGGCTGGTGCCTCGTGTTATCTCTTAGGTAATAGTGGTTATTACACGCCTGCTCTAATGGGAGAAGCCACACATCATAACACACATCACAGTCAGCGGCAATACCACGCTTATCTACGGGATAGCTTTCTTGGCTTTTGACCGTGGCAATAATGTAGCTATTATTTAGCATTAAGGTGTGTTAGGTGTGATGTGGTTATGGTCTCTGTATATAACCAATCGTGACATATTATATTTGCTATTTATAGACACAGCATCCAAAAGAATACATACTGACCACAAGACAGTCAAATAGAAGGTTAAACATCTCAATGAAGTTCTAAAATTAGAGCCTTATCCTCTTTAAAGTCAAGATACAGACAGGAGAAGTGTTTATCAGTTCTTATAATTTTGTTGATTGTTGTCCGGTTAGCTGGATTTCTGTGCATAGTTCTCTTCCTTCTGCATTAGTATTAGGTATTTGCATGTTTATTGAGTTAGACATGGTAAACTAGTTTTCAGTTTATTTTTGTTGATCTATTCCTGTGATCAAATACATTTTCCCCTGTGCTCCTAAAGTTGAGATTGTTTCCTTCCCTCTGTTCTCTATGTATAGTATTCCTCTGAGATCTTGGGAGGAATTGGCTTGGTGATCATGAATGCCTTAGTTTGTCCTTATTTCCCCACCAAATTAAATAAAAATTTGCAGGATATAGTGTTTGTGGTTGACAGCTACTTATTTCCAGGGCTTAAAATACAATAGTCTTCGTTTTCCTGGATTTTATTTTGTTATTTATTTATTTATTTTAAATTTTATTTCTTTATTGATATCAGAATGCAAAAATTCTAACTGGATTTGGGGCTTGGGTAGATGATGGTTTTGCCCTAAGTGTAGGCTTGCCTCTATCCTACCAGGGTGGCTTTGCTTACCTTTGGAGAGTTTTCTCCTCCCCAAACCTTACTCTTGTCTGGAAAGCTCCTTGTATTTTTTCCCCTTGAGTGTATTTCTAGGAGATGACTTGCTGGGCTTTAGAAAATGTCATCCTTTCAGTCAGGCATTGTTAAAATCCTTCTAAAGCCTTCGTGTCAGCTTCAAGTCCTGGCAGCTGCAATTCCACATAGCGTCACGTCTTTGTCAGAAGCCTTCGTGCCAAGCTAGTAGGTGAATATTTTGTAAATTTTGGTTTGCATTACTTCAATAGTTAACAGCGCTGAATCTTCTCCATATGCTTATTTCCATCTGTGTAATAATAATGGTAATAATGGCCGTGAAAGTGTCTGTTTAGATTTCTTCTCTATTCATCCACCAGACTTTAAAAAATAGATTTGTGAGAATGTGTTACAAAATTCATGAATAAACTCTTCTCTCTTCCCTTAATGTGATTATGAGTGTGTCATTCAGAATTATCTTTTATTGGACCCTTCTTACTTGATAATTGGTATTCTGTTAAAAAGTTTCTTCTACGACATTGTGGTCCAAGTATATCCTTGCATATTTCTTTGTAGAGCTTCATAATTCTGTCTGTTCACATTTCACCTTAACTTTTTCTTTAATGGTTTATTTTGCAAATGTGCCCATGAAACAGTTTGTCATTTTTATGAGGTTCATTAATCTTTTGACTCTAAAGATAAAACACACTGGAAGCATTTTCCAGGAATGATAAAATTATGTAATGTAACTTATCCGCATCAGTCGCTTATCCAAGACGTTGTATCATTTTTAACATTAAGTTCCTCTAGATTATAGCACTCCTTATTTTCATGTGTAAATTCTCATTGATATATGCTATCTGTACTCACAGTAATGCAATAAATGAAATAGCCGTGTCAGCTTAAACTCTTAGGGTGTAAGTGTAGACATATTCAACAGTGACTTCAGCATATTTCAAGAAAAACCACTGTAAGTATTTAGTTATTTGTAAAATAAAGTGTTATAAAGGCAAATCAGTTAGGGAAACATAAAAGACAATGTTGGGATTTGACACCAGTGCACTGACCTCTGACTCTCAGAATCCCATGAGAAATACATTCTGTCGTTTGTAAATTAATCGAGCTGCGGTCCTTTGCTGAAACATCCCTGCTAGGAGTTGCTTTGGATGAGGTCTGAGAGGTGACATCAAAGATGAGGCTGAAATGACAAATGGAGCCTCTGAAAATCTTGAAATGGATTCCAAGCAGAGAGGAACTCTGGGAAAGTGTTCCTGAAAACTGGAAAAGTGAAATCCCTGGTTTGAGCGGAAACGGCCTGATAGTTTGTTTTATCTGCCACTTTGACACAACCTGGGATCTCCTGGGAGAGAATAGTACTGAGGAGTTATCTAGGTCAGGTTTTCCTGAGGGGGGGTTGTCTTCATTGTTCCCTGATGCAGGAAGACCACACCACCATGGGCAGGACAGTTCCCTAAGCAGGGCTTCCTGGAGGGTTGAGGACTGAAATTAAACAGGAAGCGTACATGTTCACTTCTCTTTGCTGATGGCTGTGGATGCGACCTGACCAGCTCTCTCAATGTCCTGTTTTCTTTACTTCCCCAGAGTAATGGATTCTAACCTGTGGGAGAGAGAAACCCTTGAGACACTTTATCACAGCAGCAGGAACGGAACTAGGGCAGATAGTATGGCAGGGATAGTGTGGCTGGATGTGTGACATCCTAAGTTACATTTGAAAGTGTTTTCAGGCAGATTTTAAATCTTCCAGTTTTAATTTGATGTATATTTAATATTCTGTACGGCTATCATATAATGTTTCTGAGCTACTCTACTCAAACCTCCCTCCTGGCTCCCACTTAATTCTTCTTGCTTATTTATTATCTTAGATTGTCTGATATCGGGTTAGATATTCAGAACTACAACTCATTCTTGTTTTTTGTATCTTAGCACTAAAACCATTTGGCTGCATATGGTACCTTAAGTCCAGTTGCTGAACAAAGCAAGTGTTTATCCTTTTGGTGAAATGCTTTAGGGAGCTTAGTGAATTTTTCCCATATAGCCTCTGTCATGTCAGAGTATCTCCAACTGACTCTTCAAATCTGCTGAACATACCCAGTTCCATCTATTTGTCAGAAAAATATGAAATTTTGTTTATGTGTATTTCTGAAGTGAGGACAGGAATACATATTTTTAAACTTATTTTTTATCTTCTTTATTTTTATTTTTCTAAACTATCTTTTCTCACTTTACATGCCAATTCCAGTTTGCACTCCCTCCCCTCCTCTGGCTCCCTCCATCTTCCTCTCTCCACTCAACCCCCCATCCACTTTTCAGAGAGAGTAAGTTTTCCCATGAGAGTCAACAAAGTCTAGCACATTGTTTTGAGACAGGACCAAGGCCCTCTCCACTGCCTGGGGTTGGGGAGAGAAGGGAGGAAAAGAGAGGAGAAGGGGAGGGGGAGGAGAACTTGAGAGAATGGGGTCAAGATGGGGGAAGGACAGAGGGAGAACCAGGAAAGAGATATCTTGATTGAGGGAGCCATTATGGGGTTAACAAGAAACCTGCTACTAGAGAAATTCCCAGGAATCCTCAAGGATGATCCCAGCTTTGGAGAGGGTGCCTGAACTGGCGTTGCCGTAGAGTCAGTTTGATGGCTATCTTAGATAAATTTTCAGTTAACAGTTAAGGTGAAAGTCTTAGTATGTTAATACCTTGGATGAAAAAAGACAAGGTGTCCTGGGCGGAGGGGATGGAAACGGAAGGAGCCTGGGCAACTGGGAGGAGGAGGACCTCTCCTGGTACAGGTCGGGAGAGGCAGGGACTGGGCACTGGATCCTCTAGTTGGTGTCAGGATCTGGGGTCCCCTCATCTTCACACTCCTCAAAGCCTAGGACTAGCTTCTGCAGGAACTGTGCAGTGGCCTGGATCACCTAGTTGCCTTCGTTGTTGTACACAGGATGAACGGGCTGCGGAGTGTTTTCAGGACATGACCACATTGTGCAGCCTGGCTCCATTGCTGAAATACTGGCGGCGGATAAGACGTCCAGGCAGTAGCAAGCGTGGCAGGAGTCACGTGACTTGCTGTTTTGTCCAGCAGAACCCCCCTAACCCCCAAGCTGGGTACTGGCAGCACATCAGGATGCACACTTACAGGGTCTGCTGAGGGAACCTCCGGTGGTTCATGCTGAGAACAGAGTCACCTTGCTTGGGGCAGCAGGGGCAGGAACCCTGACTACCAGGTGTGGCAGCCATCCACCAGCTTGGTACAGTGGCCCTGAAATCCCCCTTCAGATGGCATCTGTCGCCTTGTCACACATTGTTACATGCTCTTTAGGTTCAACGAGCATTTTTTTTCTTGTGGGTTACAAGCCTAGGCAACCACAGAAGGTGTAGTCACCGTGGGCTTCCGTCGCTGGCTCCCTGCTGGTGCTGCCTTCCCAGTTCGGGCACCTTGCTATCCGTTCTGAGAGGTCTGGAGTGAGATGTTGGTCCGAGGGACCACCGGGGTGGCACAGTACGTCTACCACACTTCCAACGCGCACCAGAAAGGTCACCAGGCTGCTCTGGGAATACAAACACCGAGGCAGCCTCTTTGTTAATGACGTTGTAGGCCTCCTCCACGCCAAGGATGTGTTCTTATTGACAGCAGCATCCATAGGTGCAAGGTGTGGATATTGCCCGAGGCCTTCAAAGTCGCCTCTGAACTTTGACGCAGTTTCAGGAATGGACATACAAGTTTCAGAGGGTTAGTCCATTACCATCATGGCAGGGGCATTGTGGGTGCATGGTGGCACTCATGGTGCTGGAGCAAGAGCTGAGAGTTATAGTAGTTTTTTTGTTTTTTTGAAGTATAGCTAAATATATTTATCATGATCAGCACTTCTGAAATTGTTTGTGGTGAGAGCACTTAAAAATTCATTTTCAAGAATACTATAACTTGCTATTAACTATAGTTACCATGTTGAGCGATACAATCCTTGAACTGATTTCTCCTGCTAACTGAAATTTTGTACTTTCTTAATCCAGTCCAGATAAGCCAGCCTGGTTCACACGACAAACGAGGAAACTGAAGTTTATAAGACTTCAGAGGTGAACAAAGTGGGTTTGAAATAACCCGACTAAGTGACTGGCTAGAGCCGTTTGGTGTAATCTGAGCAAATCTGAAGTCACTGTCTGCTGTTTGGCCCGCTTCATAGGCGTTATATTTAAATGTGTGTGTGCGGCATTTTAAAATATGTGAAGATAGTTTAAGCAGCATTTAAACTTGACATTTAGTTTTTATTCTTATGTACAGTGGGGGAAAAACTTTAAAGACTCCAAAATAGCTTCTAGTATTTGGCTCTCCTGCCCATTTATAGTTGTGCTCTAAATGACTTGTGTGATCTGGAGAAAGTTACGTAGTCCCCTGGGCCTAATTAAGAATTCATATTGGTAAATGTTTAAGTGGCAAACTGTTAACATTTGGGAATTATATATTTATTGATTTAAAAGCAGCTGAGTGTGTATTATGCAGTCATTACACATGTAAATCTGCAAACAAGATATGCTTTATTTAGCATATTTTAAGATGCATTTAAATGTTTATTACACTGCATTTATTCTTTTGCAATTTGCCTTTTATGGCTCATTATTATGAGGTCTCTACTTGTGGACCCACATGGCTTCTATCTACAGGTTTCCCCCTTAGTTGTACAGTATTAAAGCGTGCTCTGCAGTTTGCTTCCTCATCCCCTCGTAGACAGATGTTCAAGATGCTTTCACATTGGCTTTAGTCCTCCATGGAGCCCAGGTCAGCCTCAAACTCAAGTTTTTTCTTACTCAGCCTCCTAAATGCTAAGAAACCTTACCTGGAAACCTTCGGCAATTTCTGTAAATGAAACACAAACTCATAGAATAACTGGGCTATGGTCTCTATCTTCAGGTTTATTAGGGTAGGAGTACTTTAAAATATGCCACTTTCAGGACAATGGATGAAAGATATTTTCACTCCTTCTTCTTGATACGTGTGAAGTTATTAGGCTTAAAATTATTGCCCATTTGATGGGTGCTATGTGATGAATCGTGTTGCCTTTATCCTCCAGTGTTGAAGCCCTGCCCTAAGTATCTCAGAAAATGATATTTTGGAGATCACGCTGGAGATTGAACCCAGGGTTTAATGCATACCCAGAAAGAGAAGCAAGAGCCACTGAGCTGCATCCCCAATCATTACAAGTTTCTTATTTAAATATTTATTTTTAGTAAAGTCTCTCTCTCTCCCTCCCGCTCTCTCTCCTCTGTGTGTGTGTTGGTTTGGGCACGTTAATGCAGGTCCCTGTGGAGTCCAGAGAGGATATCTGATCCCCAGGAGCTAGAGTTACAGATTATTGTAGGCTGCTCAATGTGGGTACTGGGTTTAGTGCAAGAGTAGTGTAATCTCTGATCATGCTTACATCGCCTCTCCATCCCCTAATTTTGTTTCTGTGATTATATATATATAATATATATATTTTTTTTTATGAATCTATATATATTATATATATATTTTGCAAGAAAAGGGAGTTCTTGTGACGGTTTTAGACACGTATGTCGTTTACTTTGGTCACACTCACTTCTTATTTTCTCTTGTTCCTCCTGTGAACTGCTTACTGCCTTCCTCTTTCGCATCCTCCCTTATATTTTCCTGTTCTAGTTTTTCAAATCCTAGACTCCACATATGAGAGAAAATGAACAATATTTGTCTTCCCCCAAGTCTGGCTTCTTTTGTATATACTTGATGGCATCCAAGTGTTTTTTCTTGAAAATAATATAACTTTGTTCTTTTTCTAGTTTTTGTTTTATTTTGATTAATAGGGATTCTGTATTGTCCTTAAACATTTTGTTATGGATGCTTCATAGACTGAATATTTATACCTCCTCCAAATCTGTATGTTAATGCTATGTGGAGGCCCTTAGGTGATTGGCAGATAGGGCAAAGCCCAAGTGGATGAGATCAGTGACCCCATGAAAGAGATAGCGGAGAGCTTTCTCCTTCTATCACCTTAGAATAGAGAAAGTATGGCTGCTGATGAACCAAGAAGTGGGGTTCACTAGACATCAAATCCATTGGTCTTATCTTGTATGTCACAGCTTCCTAAGATTGTGCCAAATACATGGTTATCATTTGTCTGCCATTCAGTACACTGGGGTTTGCTAGAGCAGTCACAAAGACTAAGATGAACGTGTGACTTAGGTAATTCTTTACCCTATATGCCCTACTGGAAACAGAAAAAGCAAATGCAGTCTGTGGTACTTATTTTGTTTAAAATTATGGCTTTTGAGGCAGAAAACTAAGTCTTCTGTAGCCAGCTTAATTATTCTTTTTCTTAATTATATACAATGCCTATATGTTGTTTATAGAATATTTTCCTGTTCAAAACGAAAAAGAAATTCTTTTGCTAAATAAGTTTTAAAATTTTACTTTTGAAATTTAGTTCTTAATCTTATTTGAAGTTTGTATGTGTATGTTAAAGATATTATACTACGGACATGAGACACCATACTTGGAATGACAGGAAGGGCTTTACAAAGGTAATTAAGAAGTCATGAGGATTATTCATAATCTACTATGATAGGTGACTTTATACTTTGACTTATTTGTTGATCAAATAGCCAATCATTTATTACTTACTATGCATATTATATTCAAGATGACAAGTGTTGTCAGAGCAAGTGTTTAGTCAAGGCTGTGTCCCATTTCCACATTTCAGTAATCCCTGACAACTGCCCCAGGAGGGAGGTATAAATCATTATTTACAGATCTCCAGGTTAGGGAAGTGAAATACTTGGTTTGAGAATACAATATAAATTGTGAAGTTTAGACTTGAATTAAGTCTTTAAATATGCATTAAAGATGCAGTACAGTTATTGAGGTATTTACTAGTTAAGGATTATAATGCAGAGTCAGTTTACCAATAGCTGCTGTATGAATATCTGTGTGGTGGCACAGATATCACCGTGAGGACTGTCAGGTGAGGGCTCGCAGCAGGGACAAAGAAGATGCCACCGCACTGCCTTGAGAACATTCTGTTTCCTAGCCAGTATACGCATCACCTTCAAATCAGAGAAACTCTTCAAATAGTTCTCTTAGTGAAGGATAACAACCTGTGTACAAAAGAAGTACTATAAATTAGTTGACTTGTTCTGGGTAGCTTAAGACAAACTTTCTGTTGTTCTTATGATGTAGCTTGCTAAGGTTTATTGAAATAGTTTGAAATGCCTACCACATTATTCTCATTTTGCACTTAGTGCTACGGAAACTGTGATTCTGAGCTTTTCTCCAGGCAGAGAAGTCGTTTGGTGGAAATGATGATTTAGGTGTAAGCTGTTAGCTCTGGTTATCTAAGAAGAAGGGGGTATGGCCAAATTGATACAATTACACAATGGCCTACTTCTGTAGTTTCCTCTAAAAAGTATGTGTGTGTGTGTGTGTGTGTGTGTTTGTGTGTGTGTGTGTGTATCCATGCACACACACACGTGGGCATGTTTCTTGGCAAATCAAAGCAACTGCCACCCAAGATTATATGTAATTTTACATAAACCATTGATAATAACCAATAAAATTCTTTGGAAAAAAAGATAGATAAATTAAGTAGAAAATAAATATCCCCAATATTTGTTGTTCAGTATCTATTCTTTTCTTCCACATTAGTGGATTTTATTATTTAATTATTGTTGTAAGAGGAGCAGGCTGCATCCCGCCTGGCTCCGGGTTGCCCGGCTAGCTTACACCCGAAATAACACAGAAACTGTATTCATTTAAACACTGCCTGGCCCATTATCTCCAGCCCCTTATTGGCTAACTCTCACATATTAGTTTAACCCATCTCCATTAATGTGTATGGCCACTTGACTGTGGCTTACCGGCATGAGTCTAACCAGCATCCATCTCGGAGAGGAGATCCATGGCATCTGCCACACTGCCTTCTTCCTCCCAGAATTCTGTTCTGTCTACTACGCCCATCTAAGGGCTGCCCTATCAAAAGGTCAAGACAGTTTTCTTTATTCAACCAATGAAAGTAACACATAGAAAGAAGATCCTCCTACCCCAAATTATATATTTTTCTCTGTAGCTGCATTTCTTGATTATTCACTTTTAGTTTATGGGGTGTGTGTATGTGTGCCCTTTGTTGACTCATTCTCTGTCTTCAAGTTATATATTCTATTATACTCTTTCTCTTTTCTTTTTATTTATTCTTCTCTCATATAGCACATCCTGACCACAGTTTCTCCTCCCT